ATAATCTCAGTTGCTTTGAAGCTACAATGTGTTGATATAAGGCTGTTTTCAGGACTAAGGAAATACCTCATTGTGTAAAAGACACATACAAACACGGATACACAGGAAAATGAAACAATATATGATGCACAAATGGAAAGATGTTGTCTAGAATTTTATTTGGAAAGCAAAATTCCACTGCACATGTCTTCATTAGAATATATTCCTGGAGACAAGGAGCACACAAGCTTTAATATGTCTACATTTGGTAGGTTAAAATGTAGACAGCTCAGACTTTTATCCTTATTAAGAAGCATTTTGGCTGCAGGGAACATGCTTTTGTGCTTTATCAGGTACAAATATTCATGAGTTTCTGAAGATTACATATATTGAAATTTCTCATTAGAAGAGTTTTCTGCAAAATAAAACATTTCTGATACCAAATGTTAAGCCATTTAATCCCATGAGAACAAAGCAAAATGTTACAGATTCAAGATTGATGCTTGAAGCAAATATGGTCATAGAAAAAGATTAGAGAATTGAAGGAAATAGTAATATATATGCTTCAGTATATACTGCATTTGCTTTAAAAATAATAACCACTCCATAATTCAAAACTCGTCTGCTACAGCAGTTATGGCTTCGATCCAGCTTGTTTTCCTATTCCAACCCATGCTGAATGAGATGGGGAAGAAATGGGAATATTATGGATTTCTGATACACAAACTGCACCAGCCCTACAATAATTAGCAAGGTCTCATTCTAACATATGCTAAGATATGATCCTAAAAGACTATTCTGTAAAAAATACTGTAGAGAGAGGACTTCAGTGCTATCTCATGTTCACTTCTTTTCCCATCTTACCACCTTTAAAGGAGGTGGTTTGGGACCAAGCTTCACCATTTTGTCTTAAATAAGAATTCCTCTGCCTTGGAGCATTCTCAGGTGGCCTCCTTAATGCACAGCACAGATTTGCTAATAGGTACATCATGAGGCTTTAAATAAAAATTAGGCTTCTTACACATGGCATTGTGGAGACTGAATTTACATAACAGGTTTAACACACAATAGGAGACATTGGACAGCAGTAGCTCTCTTAGCTGTTGTGGTTATGTTCTTGATTTGGTAAAACTTAATCTCACTTCTAAAAGCAATATCAAATAATGCTTTTACAGATATTAAAAGAATAGCAGCTTCAGTTCAGACTCCTCAGTTTCTTTGACTTTAATTGCAGTTCTTGACAACATGAGTTGCAGATGAGTTACACACATATAGAAACACTCACAGACAAGAAGACATGCCCTGAAGGGAAAACATCAACAGGTTTTCCCAGTCTGAGCAGAATCAATTGCAAATACCAAACAAAACTGCTTACAACCAAGTATTTAATAAAACTCCCAATAGGAATGTATTTCCATTAAATTCAGGAGGTCATAATAGCCTTTAGGAAGAGATCAAACTGAGTGAGGAAAAAGTTGCCTTATATCTTTAACCTCTGAAATATTTCTTCCACACATACTATTATTACCCTTACTATGATTATTTATGAAATTCGCAGGAGCAAAGGAAGAATATATCTGTTCTCACATCACATCATTCATCTTAAATAACTGATAAGCAGCTGCATCAAAAAAAGGGCTTATTTTGTATAATATATTCAAGACATTGATATGGAGTCTAAGTAAAAACCTATCCAATATTAGAAAAATTAATCCTAACCTCTTACTGTTAGATATTCTTAAATGTTTTCTTTTAACATCACTTCTTTCTAATTCTGATAAATACATCATCAAAAGTACTTTGTGAACTAGATTACCAGGTAGGTAATAGTATCACTAGAAAAAATGAGACAAAACATACCAGTGACATGTCCTAAATCTCATCAAAGACCAAATCAGAACTCTATGAAACGGGATTAGAGCTTCAATATCTTATCCAAAACACTGCAGAAACATTTTGATCCTTTTTTATACCTACAACTAGATTCAGCATTTCCATTGTCAAAAAATTAGAGACGTTACAGCTTTACTCAGTCTCAGATGGGATGTTACATATTTCATCATTCCTTACCTATGACAGATAATGAACAGAAAAGATTTTTCCATTCATCCATCAAGCTGATCCGCAGCAGCAAAAGGACATCTTTGGGTCAAAGGCGTGTCTGTGTTAAGGTCTCCAACTTTCATGAAATGTGTCAGCTTGACATTTTTACATGGCCTTTTCAAGCTGTTGTTTCAGTTTCTTAAAATAGATCCATTTCTACCTTCTGTAGGTATAGCAATAGTATCCTATGATGTTTCTGCACAATTGGTTCTCCTCAGCTTTTCATAGTCTTGCCCTGCTCAAACTTTATAGATGGCAGCCATTGATACCTTAGTGGTGCCTACCCATTCCCCATCATCTGTCCATCTTCTTAAGCAAGACAGCAAGCACTCTGATGTTTTTTTTTCCCAATAAATCTTTGATGTCACACTGAACATGGACCCTTTTTTTAACTTGATTTCTAGTGCCTGGCTGCAAGTGATTCAACCAGTGACTTGAACTGCATTCATAAAGTTTTCTTATGGTGTTAGGCTTAAGTTACATTCCTTAAAAAAAATATTTTAAAGTATAAAAGTCTTCATTTACTGTCTCTTTGCATTTCCATGCATTCATTTAATTAATCTTCGTTGTAATCCTCAGAACGCTTCGAAGATTTCCTTCCTTTCTTGAATGTATATACATTTTTTGAATGTTTTCAGTTAGGTATGTTCTTTCTGCTTGTGTTCACAGTTTAGGTGAGTAATGTGTTCTAGAGTACGTTCACAAATCAGTCTTATCATTTTTGCTCTTCTCTTATTTTTCTCTTCATCAACTACAGATATCACAATAAGCAGGTCAAAACAAGACTTCAGATTTGAGCAGTGCTAGCCCCAAAATACCATCTGTGGTATTATCTGCTATCTAATCTATTGAACCATTTATATCACATTATCATGATTGAAACTACCGTATTTCTCCGTATTTCTCATCTTGTGTTGCTACTGAAGAATATTCTTGGCCATATTCAGTCTTCTAAGATTTAATTGTGCTACTTCTGTATGCTTCTGTTCCAATAAACAACAATTTGTTTCTTTTTGGAGATCTTAGAACTGCTACTACAAGATTAATTTTTCTCATATTTAAGGATATATTCTCTAAATATCCTTTTCTATCAGAATGAGGAATCTTGCTTAGGTTTCATAAGGCCTCGTGGTCACAGGAATTCAAAATATGTTCCTACTTTATTTGGCAAAAACAACTGTGGTGCAATAGTCAAGTCATAGGTTACCTAAGTTATGAATTAACTGAATTCTGCCTGGTATTTTTTACCAGTAAAGCCTTTAAAAGCTGAATTTTTCTTTTCTCCTTGGCTTGCTAGTAGACAGATATGTTAATAAATAGATGCAATACAAGGTACCAGAGGTGTTTTTCCTCTTCTCTGTCTTCATACATACAAATAGCTTGAAATCAAGAGGATGTAATGAGAATTAAGACAGATACGTTTAATTCAATTACCAACTGAAATTCACAGCACTATCATCACTTTGCATTACTCAGATGCAGCCTAGTTTTGCATTGTGTTCCTGAAGTTATATATCATCTCTAACAGTCACAATAGCTCTTCATTTAGTCAACTGAACGAGACTAATTGTTGAGTTTTTTAAATCCACAAATACAAATACAAATCCACAAATACAAATTTTAAAGTAGCATCTTCAGATAGTGCAGCTTTAGATCGAGGTGAAAGGTTTGAAGAGTAAGAAGAAAAATACTTGACCTCTGTTGTTTAGGTGAAGTGACTACTACTAGATATGAGTCACGGTTTTTTCAATAGAAGGAAAGGAGAGAAAAACAAAAAGCACACAAACAGAGCAGGGCATACACATTAATCATTACTAAGGCTGAAAAAATAATCATGATGAGATTACAATTTACATGATCCTTGTAACAACAAAAAAACTATGGGAAAACATCAGTATTAACTCAGTGTGCTTATAATACATGCTCTTAAAAGAGATTTTAAGGAGCGTTCATTTTTCGTCTTCCAAAAGGCAGGATCTTATGCTAGCACTCTTTCCAGGCACTGATTAGTCCCGCATTTTCTGAGCAGTTTTATTTAATGGAGTTAGGTTCAGCAACATATACTATTTTTTCAATTTCAGTGTGCAGCTAGGTTATTAAGAAAATCCCAGTGGATAATATAAGCAATTATGTTTACTCTTGATCCTGCTTTCCCAGAATTTGGATGATAAAAATTCCATTTACAGTAAATTAGAATGAATATCCCATTTTAAGCCTTCCTCCTGGGAGGTTGCTTAAAAAAAGATGTGCTTCAGCCTGTAAGGTTGTCATTGCCTAAAAATGTACAGTCTTTAAAAACATCACCCCTTTGCAATTCTGTTGATATTTTCTGGAACTTTAAAGTGTGCTCTGTAAATAAATGTATGCCCAGATTTTTGATACTTCCCTCACTTGTTCCTTCAGCACAGTTTGTCAGCTCTCATTTTCAATGTGAGAAAAACCTGACCTCCTTCATACAGAGGTGTAGGTGGCCTACCCTCCGTCTTACTCTATTCAAGGGTCAGCCCAGAGGTCTGGATCATGTAATGTTTATTCAGCACAAGTGCACACAAGCGAAATTCCAGTTATAGTCACTGGAATTCAGCTGCTTGCATTAGTGCTGATGGTTTTGTGCACTTCAGCTGTTCAAAACCATACACAAAATAAAGCTACTTGTAAGCTTATTATCACCAAATTCATGCCTGGTCTGATGTCAATCAATTTAATGGGGGTAGAGCTTTCTATCCTCTGATTTTCATCAAAAGGTGCCAAAATTTATCCCCTTTCCTGATCAGCAAACCCTGTTAGGCCCACAATTAACCCGTGCTATGGGAGCAAGTGAGAGGAACCACCAGACAGCGGGGTTACTCATCGTGGAAGAGTCCCTGTTTCCTTGACCAAGCATAGCTCCTTCAGCACACGTTTTCCTCTCTCCTCACCTCTACGCTACGGCGCAGTATTTTCTCTTGCTCTCTCTCTCACTATCTCTTTTCTGTATCTCTCGGAAATCAGACTGGAGTTCAGAGCACTTTCACTACCTTTTATGAGGTAGAGTGTGATGTCATAGATGGGGGCAGGGCTAGTCAACTTTCTACCCACCCACCCACCTGTGCTGAGGGAGCTACGCTTGAGACCGGAAGCAGTGATTCCTCGACGGTGAGTAACCTCCTGTCTCATCTATATCTTTTAACTCTATAGACCTGGGGGTGGAGGGGAAAAAACATGAGAATGGGGATTTTTTTACTTAGTTTGGTTGGGGGTTTTTTGTTTTAATTAACCAAAGGGCTCACAGAATGAATTGCATGCATCTGACCTGCAGAAAATAATTTCTTTCCTGTTCTGAACTAGAGTTAATGACATCCGTAAAGCAATGATCATGTTTCTTTGCAGAGGTGGCCCGTTTACTGCTGGTTAAGCTGATCCTTCAGTGTTTAACTTGCATCGTGAAAAGGCAGACTCTGGTCCCCTTGAACACAATTGCTAAACTTCCACTAACTTAATTACAGTAGTGATGGGCCATAACTTTTCTAAAGAACTTTGGGATTAAAGATAGGTGGTGTTGTTTGTTTATTTATCATTATTAACTGTGGGTTATGCCTGTTTATACAGAGTGGGATATTTATTTTCTCTGTTCTCTGTTACTGTTTTTATTAGCTTTATCCAGAATGTTTATGAAGCTGTGTATTTGCAATAGGCCAATTATAAGACCTATTTTATAGGTGAAATAAAATTCAAAAGTAAATTGAGAAAGATGTAAAATTAAGCAGGAAAACCTCAGGAGATGTAACTGAGATTTAACCTTTGATATTATAAATCAAAGCATTTGATTTTTACTTTGGTAAAAGCTTGGAATGGGCAGGGATACTGCTAACCAAATTTCTTGGTGTTTTTCTTGTGTCAGTACCTAAACATTACTATTTTACTTTAAAGCACTGTTCCTGTAACCTATTTCCCTTGTCCCCAAGTATTACTGCTTCACTGTTTTAATATCCCTCAGCATTTTAAAAAAGACAAGATGGACTACGAAGACCTTCTTTTCTGCTTTCTGCCTCTTGGGTATCTATTAAAGCTGTCAAGATGTCAAAGCTCTCATACTAAAGGACAGAAGAAAGATCATATGAAGATTTTGGCCCTTAGGAATACCACGAATCTTGCTGTTCTTATTCATTTAAAGCTCTTTACCAGCTCCATGTGGGGTCTTGTCATATCTCAGTGATAAAAGGCACTAAAAGGCAGGAACGCATACTCTATAAATGAAAGAGAGAGTGCAATCACAGCCTTTTCAGCAGAGGTGGTCCATAGCCTGATTGATGAAGTACTTCTATTTTCAGGTGACTACGTGCCTTTGAGGAATTGGGTATAGGATGCGGACCATTCCATCTTCTAGTCAGTGACATGGATTGGGGGTTGGTCAGTAGTGATGGATAGATATTCCTCCCTGATGACTTAGTGATGCTCTTTGCATCAACGCATAGGAAATATGAATGAAATTCTGGGGCAATGAAAGTCTTGTTTATAAAGCTACCAAAACTTTCACTAATGACTGTTTCCCTTCCTGTCACAGAGAAAAATAAGGACAAAGAATATAAAAATTGGCTTCCTGAGTGGTGGCAGCCTTTCTACCTTTGAATAATGTGTGCAAGGAGTTTTATTACTACTGCTTATTCCTTTAGTGAATCAAACATTGAAAAGTCCAAATATTTCTTTGCAAAGCCAAGAACTTGTCTAGCAAATTTAGCTTTCCTAGCAAACCAATAGGAAATGAAAAGCACGTTAGTCAATCTCTAATGTTTCACTGGGAAAACTTTATCGGAATTGCTGTTGCTAAAGACAATTTCAGGTATGTTCTTTCCAGAGGAGAATGCTTTGAGGTAAAATTTCATTTCGATCCAAAGCATATCCTTTGCTGATGAGTTTACAAAATTGTCTTTGCACATAATTATTTTTGCATAATGCAGGAGGCTGTAATTTTTGCACAAAATTAGTAAAACATAAGGACCAACTGTACAGTGCCCTTAATCTCGCTTCAATGATATGAAAGCAATTTGGTGGCATGCAGCGGGAAACGCTATTTAAAAGTGTTAGGAACAGGAAATCAGAATTGGCATCATTCAGTAATTATGTTGAATTAGAGATAGCGATCAGCACTGAAGGGGTATTGTGGAACTGAAATGTCAGTGGATTACTTCAAATCCAGATAAATTTGTCTCTAAGTATATCTTGTAAGATGAGAAAATTAGCAGTTCGCTGACTTAGGTGTAGGGGAGAGTTTGTGAGGGAATGATATTCAAAATGACATTAACCATTGTGAGAATTAGCCTGTGCCAAATCTAATAGTAAATTTTAGGCCATGCAATCCCAGGATGTGAGTTTACCTGAGTAACTTTACACTGGGACAATAAATAGCCTAATTTTATGTTTACTGAGCTAATTCCCCTGTTAAATTATTTTACAGGAAGCTATGATTAAAACATGCACAGATTCCTGTATTTTACTGTTTTAGCTTAATTATATATTCAAGTCAGTTGCAATGTTTGCTTTAACTGTATATTATTTACATGCAAAGTAAAATATAATAAGGCCTAGATTTCAGCTGATTTTATTAGGTGTGCAATATGAAAACTATTAAAGCAAATATCTGAGCAACTTCTCCCAATATCTGCTAATTTAAACAAGTTAAATCTTCATAAGTGCTTTATAAACAGAAAGTTACTGTATGATAAGGCATACTTAAAAACTGCATTGTGTTATGCTTGCAAGCACATTGTGTATTACTGACTCAAAACGAAACCAGTAACTAGCATATTTATACCTATATATTTAAGGAGGTCAGCATTTAAGTTACAGGTTTTTTCCTCATTCAGACTAGCAAGGTGTGAGCAATACTTTCATGGTGTAAGATCATATATAGGGATCTAACATTTTTTCAGTGTTATTAAGATTGCTATGTAAAATTCCCAAATTTTCTGTATTTGCCAGGTTGATTTCTCTTACAAGTTGCATTAAAACTGTGGGTTGGTTCTTACCTTCTTTTTCTATATGAAAAGTGAGGGAGAGCTGTGAAATGCACCATCTGTTTGCAAACGGTGTCAGCTGGCAGATAGATGCTTATCACCCTGCCCTCTCCTACTGCAGTTTTAGGCTGGTATAACACCATTGACTCAAAATGAATTACTTTTGATTTAATCTTACTTAAGCAAAAGAAGTCACAATGATAGTGCACAGCAGTCTAGAGGACTCTTCGTGTTGATTTAAATTGCAATGCTTTTAAACTTTGACCTCAGCTCATTTGAATTGTCAACAAAAATGCTCAGTAGCACTTGCACTAAATATAGCGGTTGGAGGAAACTAGGGCTGCCTAAACATGCTGGACTTTCTCTTTCAGGGACAGTTGCATCTCAAAGACATTAAACATGATTCTGCTCAAACATAGCCCTTTGGATTTTTATCTGTCCAATCTGAGTAAATCAAAACAAACACAATGGTGTACCATTGTAAAACTGGGGAAAAAAAAGTAAATATTATTACTTCCCTTTTGCAAATGAGAATACTAAGCCACACTCAAGGCCAAAGAGACCTATAGAATCACGATAAGTTTCGAGCACTTTGTCCTCCTTTAAGGCTTAGATAATTTTCAAGACCAGCATTTCTGTCTTCCATTCTATACTCCAATTTCCACTCCAGATGGCAAAAAAATAATTAACTAACAAAATAAATAACAATATAAGAGGAGAAAGAGTTCATTGTAGACCTACGATTTGAAAAAGATAAAGAGTTGGAAAGAAATCCTGCAGTAACAGTGGGAACTTTCCCCACTCAAGTTGTGCAAAAGATGAGTAGGTCTATGGTGTAATGAAAACTGAGCATTTTATTATTCAGAAAGGTTTTACCTGAATTATGAAGAGTTTTTGGCTGCTCATTCATCTAGCCAAGTGTAAACATCTGCATCTCAGATGTTCCCTCCAGGCTTCCTTTATAATTAGCAGAGATCGATCACCATTTCTAGAGAGGAAATACTCTTGTTTCAGGCAGACACTGATGACTGATTAGATTAGTAACATCTTAGAACTATTACAGAGACATGGTTGGGCAGGTGAATTAAACCACGTATCCAGACAAGCATGGAATAAGAAAGCTTAGCCTTGGGGGTCTTTTGAGTGTGTGTATCCATATGGAAGTGATGTAAACTTTCTGTGAACTTAGCTGGAGAAAGGAAGCTGCCTGATTCATTCTAGACAGAAATATTTAAATTGTTTTCTAAGGAGCATTTATCTATATAAAGTAGCTGTCTTGAAGCCCCATATTGTTAGCTACTGTAGGTTGGAGAGATTGTTTTGTAGTGTGTGGGTTTCCCCCATATGACACTTATGGGGATCAAAAGAGAAGAATTAAGGAAAACCAATTAAAAAATAGTCAGTAAGCCTGAATTCTTGGCCTACTGGGTCAGATCCAAGCACAATTTTTTTGGAAGATGTTGAGTATCTCTGCCCAGATTCACTGTGCTGTCTTTAGGATTCTAATTCAATTTGGGATCTCCAAGTATAATTAAAAAGGTGAGTTATTCCATAAAAATTGTACCTGTGAGAGATCTCAAGTGCTCCATGGCTCCTGGTCATCTTCACCAAGTACAGAAGGAGCCTGGAATGCTGTGGTCCAGCACTTGGAATTAGGTAGGATGTGAATGGGATAGGACTTAATTTATAGAAATGGAAACTCTGAAAACCTCACTTAGGTCACCGCCTCAATGGTTTTTATGAGTAGCCCTCATAAAAGCAGCCCTTATTTATCTTGCCTGCATTCCTAGAGAAATTTTCAATTACAGACATCTGAAAAAGTGCTTCTGGGGTTCCAGTGCCACCAGCTATGAAAAGTTTTGGGATTCTTACTAATATTAAAAGATACTCAGTCACAATTTTTAACTGATGCCAAGTAAGCGCAGACACGCCTATAGGTAATCATGACTAATGAACAATATTAAAGTTAATAGCTCTGTAAGAAAAGAGTCAGTTCAAATGCTTTTCCATTTCTCCATTCTCCTAAACAAC